TGATAACGTAAGGCCCCACACATCTTTGGTTACTCGGCAAAAATTATTGGAACTGGGTTGGGATGTTTTGTCACACCCACCATATAGCCCTGACCTTGCGCCTTCGGATTATCATTTGTTTCGTTCCATGCAAAACTCTTTAAATGGTAAAATTGTTAACAACGCGGATGATGTCGGATCACACCTAATTCAGTTTTTTAATAGCAAAGACCAGACATTTTACGAAGGGGGAATTTTTACTCTGCCAGAAGGATGGAAAAAAGTCATCGACATGAACGGCCAATATCTAATTGAATAAAATTATATTTTTAAACAAAAATTCCGAATTTGCCTTCTTATTTGAAATCAGCAATGATTTAGTTGCCAACCTAATATATGTTTGAGCAATCTTTGACACCACTATTGCATCTTCTTAGTATGAGCAAAGACTAATTGTTATCATCTAACGGACGACAAGCGCAATCCATGAGGACAAAAGAAAAAATTGAGGAAAATACAGAATTTACTAAGCACAAGAAGTTAAAATCGAGCATCTGCATTACTTGACTTCTTGTTGGATATTACAGACAAGTCTGCGTTATCCACGAAGTGACAAACACGAGTGGCTAGCCAATATATTTCGACAAAAAACGCTTGAAAACAGTTCAGGTAAACGCAAAAAAGTGGATTAAATGAAAGATGGTTAAAATATTAACAAATATTCGTAAACTCTGCCTTCATCAATACCACCATCATCGCAGTTAGCTATAAAAAATGTAAACCGACATGTAACAGGTTTAATGAAAATATTTAAGCAAACCTGCATGTGTGTGGTAACTAAGCAACATTTTCCTACATTCCTCAATAAATTTCCTCCAATAGAATTGTTCATTTACTGTTTTTCTTATCATATTGATCCAATCACTAAAAGATATCTAAGAGAGGTGATTTTGGTTAAAAACAAGACCTTTGCTAAAATATTTTTCTCCTACGATGAGCTAATCAATTCCTATTTGATAATATTAATTAATTTAAGCGCATTAAACTCAAAATACCTGAATATTTTAAATTATAAATTTTAGGATTTGAAAAATTACGATTTCAATTAATTTTTAAAGACCAACCTAGATGAAAACGACCGTATTAAGGATGGTTTTGCCCCTAAATAGAAAATAAATGCATAATATTTTTGAAACCGATAGAAAGTTAATGAATAATATTAACAAATTAATCATAATAAGCAAATAGGGGGAGATATTGCAATATTGCATCCGGAAGGTAATTTGATTACGTAACCTTGACATTTTGGAACAATACCTTTCTTTTCACAATTGACTGTTGAAGGTCAAACTAAAACTCACTTAAATTAGTTAATAATATTAGTGATTCCTGTTTTTAAGGAAATATATGCCAAAACATAATGAAGCTCATGGTTTATCGAAACAGGCTCTATAGTACTCAGCTTAAGTAATTGCTGAGATTTCATTAGTAAAACAGTTCTCGTGAAAATGTATCCATGATGAGTTGCTCAGAACTTTTGAAACGTGCTGAATAGTTATTAAATTCACAGTTTCTCGCGTGCAAAATCCTAGTGCTTTCGTCGGAGACAGTGTTATAAAACTATTTAAAGATAGTCCATTTTACGGAATAAGCATTGAAGTAAAAGGCATAAAATGACTATTATTCATGGGCAAAATTATTGCCTTCCCCGGAAAGTCCTGTCGAAATTCAAAAATATTTCAATTAAAAATTTATTACACGTTGATACTTGGCAAAATCTTGAAGTGCGGAGGCAAAATAATAGGCCCAACCTTTGAGATCACTTGTTTATGTTTTATTCTTCTGTTACTCCATTTCCCAAAATATGATTATTCATTATCCCCTCATATAGAGTAATTGAATAATAACTGAGATATTTTTTAGTCAATGAAAGCGTTCGGAAAACCCCTTATGTAATATTTATTTATACCAAATGGCAGGCTTTATGAAAGTTATCATTAGCCCCTTAGCTGACTTTGAGCTTCACAGAGGGAAGGAACGTCAAAGTAACAGAAATTCGAGGGGTGTGGAACAGAAGAGTGATTTACAGATGTAAAAGAGACAGGCACAAAGACAGAGAAAAGGTGAGATGAGTACTGTGAAAGTCGTGGAATATGACATACAGTGAGGTGATGGTAGTGTGAAGTCAGAAGTCAACTACCAGTTAATAGACTCTTTTGCCACATGAGTATACGTTGCCCAGGGTGCACCCCTCTCTTGTGTAATATTGGTCATTCATTTGAATTTAAAATCTCAAAACTTAGAGATCTCATTTCGTTCCAATTAAAATGCAAATATTGGGTCAATACTTTTAAGCATTGGAAGGGTTCTCGTAAATAATATTAAGGTTTTATGAATGCTTATTTACACTATCTTCTTTTAGTTACAATTAACTAAAATATCCATTTATTATTATTATTGATTATTAAAAGCATTGCCATTTTGTTTGGTAGGAATATCGTTGTGTAATAAAAACTTCTATACTATTTTTACTTATCTTTTTGAATGTTATAAACTTAAAAGTTTTAAATAAATGAAATGAGAAAATGCGATTTAAAAAATGAAATTTCTGTTCAAACTAATTCATTAATCACAATTTTATCAAACTTGGCGCCCTAATGGGAAATGTTAATCAATATAAATGTACACCGCAGAGGAAAAGAATTTGTCACGAATCTGTCCATTTCCCTCCTTTTCACTTCAAAGTTTTGCGATGATACCTCGAAGAGAATCCAAATGATTTAGAATTAAAGCTAAGAACATAGCCAGAACCTTAACCCCCGAATCATGACAAATGAACCCTGAACTATTGAGGTGCTTCAAAAGGAAAGTGAACGACTCCATTCTTCTCTAATTTAAATAAGGCAAGACTTTTTAATTTATATGTTTATTTCATCCATCTGTCACCACTTTCTATGTTGGTTTGCCATTTCATTGTCACCGATGTTATCCTTTGATTAGTATTTCTAGAGCTCTGAA